CTACACGACGCCGTTTTGAAGAATTCATATAAATAAACTTTAGATGAAAACTTACCCTAATCTTCATTTGTAAACACACACCCCTCTGCGCCGTTCTCCCTCTCCTCCACTCCTTTCACAGCCGAGAGCCACCAAAGGCTTCCATGGCCTTCGCCTTACACTTTCCTTGAAGAAAAGATGGAGACCATGGCCACCCACGACTAAGGCCCTGCTTTGGGGTTCTCTGATGAAAATCCGACACACAAAGGATGAAACTCGAGGGTTCTCTTCTGTACCAGGACCTCCACAAACCGGATTTAGAAGACAAGAATCGGAGAATCTTTCCCCTCCAACCACCGTTGGGATTTGCCAATCAGTTACGGAGCTTGCGCCGTTAAGAACCCAAGGTAAAGCTTTTCATAAATTTTTTTTTGGTTGCCGATTCCTTGTTCTTCTCTGCTTGAGTGCTTTTCCCCCTTCTGTTGAAAATCCCCTGTTCTGTAGAAAAACCAAGCCTATCACTGTTGGTTTTTTTGGTTCTACCCGGTTGTTCGTGTTCGCTCTCCTCTCTGTCTTCTGATTTTTTTCTATTTTTATGGACTGTTAATGGTCGTTTTCTGATGTGGTTCTCTCGTTCTCAATGGTTTCTTTGTGTTTCTTTCTTCTTCTGTTTGTCGTCGATGGATGGTAGATTAGGGTTTTTCGTACTGTATGTCAATGGTTGATTTGTTGTGGATGATTTCTTTTTCGTTGTTGATTTCCCCTTTCTTTTTCTGCTGTTCGTGACCTCCTCCCCTGCTATAATGTTCTTTGCTTGTTCTCCAATTGATCACTGACCCCTTCTGCTCGGAATGGTTACCCCCGTTCCGAATCCTCCTCCTCTCTGGTCTCTCCCCCTTTTCTCTTGATGATGGCTCCTTTTCAATTCATATCCCCCGTGATTCTACATTGATTGTTGTCTTTCCTATTGGTTTCTGGTTCTGTTGAATGCCCTCGTTCTTCGCGTGTTGTAGGTCACGGGTGATGCTCGGTTGCAGTGCTTCACATGGGTGCACAAGTATGTGGGAGCCGAGGAATGCTCGGGCTTGGTGCTCGGATGGGCAGAGGAGCCTCACGTGGGGCTGCTGGTGACCTGTGCAAACAGATCCGGGTTGGGTGCTGCTTGTGGAAACCGAGCTATTGGGTGCAGTGGTCCACATGAGCGCACGAGAGACATCAGCGGGTGTTGTGCGCTCGGGCAGAGTGATGTCTCGGTTGTGTGATTCACGTGGGGGACAAAACATGGGAGCATGGGCTGCTGGAGCTCGGGCTTGGTGCTCGTATGGGCAAAGGAGCCTCACGTGAGGCTACTGGTGACCGGGTCTAATTGCAACTGGGTCTGGATCAAGCTGCTGAATCGGGCCTTAAACTTAGGTTGGGTCTTGGGCTATATGTAATTTGGACCGTAATTATTTGGGTCTAGCTAGTCTAGCGTTTTAATTTAGTTTGGGTTCGATGTAAAGGGACACTAGACATTTAATTTGGATTTTGGATCTCAATTTGTGTCTCATTTTCCATATACGGTTACAATTCCAATTGAGCACCAAAACTTCCAAACTCAAACTTCCACGCTTCATCACTTGAAATAGATCTTCATTTAAGCATGATTATCGCCAAATTAATTATCGAACATCTTCAAGAAAATTTAATGGCCCGGACAAAATTAGGGTATTACAATACATACATTTTTATATTTTTTTATATATATATATTTTATTATTTTATTTATACTATTTATTTATTTTCATTATATTTTTAGTTTCTTTGCTCTTATTATTATTTTTTTTTTTAAAAAAATACTTTACTTTTTTTATTCTTTTTGTATATATATTTTTATTTTCATTTATTTTATCTTATTCAATTTTATTTTATTTTATTTTTTTCATCCAATTATTTTATGTTTATTATTATTGGTTTCATTTATTTCCTTGGTTTACTCTTTAGTTTTGTTACTTTCTTTTATTATTATTATTTTCTTTTAAAATCTTATTTTTAAGGGTATTTCCGTAAACTCATTAAAGGTAAGTAATTTGGATCAAATTTTACCTTTTAATTTAACTTGCAATTTTCTTAATCAAAGACAATTGGAAATTACGTAGCACCGAAAGGACGGTTCAATGATGCTAATCCTTCCTTGACTGTAACTGATTCCTGAACCCGACACATCTTTTGAAAGACGCAGATCAAGTAATAAATAGGGTATCCGATCAACCCATTTGTTTTAAACAAATGATCGGTGGCGACTCCAATCCATATTTTTCAAGTCGAAACTTAATTCCGGAACCCAACCGAAAGACGGTTACGACGACACCATAATTTAACACCAACTGAGTTGACATGCTATAAATTTTAAATGTCATCAAGGTACGTAAGTGTTTTCAACTCCACCAATAGAGGTCCAAATAGATTTCCTACGACAATAAACTAAATTTCTCGTCCACTTCTTTTCTTTTAATTTTTTCTATTCCTTTTTACCGAACACAAGAATTCCTCGGAACATGACCCTTTGGGAGGTGGAGGTGGAGGTGGAGGTGGAGGTGGAGGTGGAGGCAAGGCAAATGCGAGCCAAATCTGAATTTCGACCCCGACTCTTAGATCAACGCAAAGTCATAGAAAATTTGGATATTATCACCATTCACAACAAAATTAAAGATTAATTACGTATTTAATGATTTAATTATCATTTTTTTATTTTATTTTAATTATCTAATTATTTTTTTTAAAATCAGCACTAACATTATGTTTGATTTCATTTTAGTCATATGTCGTTAAAAAATTAACAATGATGTTAATGTTTTACCATAAGTTAATGTCACATCATCTTTGAATTTTTTTAAAAAAATACTACATCAACAGGTCTGTTAATTTTATAACTACGAGTGGTCTAATATGAAATCAAAACGTAATGTTGATGATGATTTTGAAAGAAAAAAATTAAATGACCAAAACAGAACTAAAGTGATAATTGGATCACTAAATACGTAGTTTACCTTAAAGTCAAATACTACAAGCTACCTTTACCTTTTTCTTTTATTTTTAAATTTTTAGGATAAGGATGGAATTAAACCAGTGGATACCCATTTCAACTTGCTAACTCCTTTGTTCATTCATTGTGTTATATCTATAATTGTGTTTGAAAAATGAAGGCAATATCAAGCTCAAATCTTACGTTCTTTGATAATTATTTGTAATGCCATAATTATATTTGTTCATGTTTTAACAATTAAGGTAATACTATTGTATTATGACAATTAATGATATGGATTCTTAACTTACTAGAATACTATTGTATTATGACCTTCTGATTTTTAAAACACACGCATATTTATCAGATAAAATATTTTCAAACGTCGAAACAATTTCTATATATATCCAAATCTGTATTATTTATTATCATATCTAACGACTAAAAAAACTTCTTTATTATCAATATTTTTACTTGATATCTCTTCTTTAGGGTATTCACGTACTTTTTGACATATGCTTGAAGAAAAAGTGGGAACTCAAATCAAACATGTCCTATCATCTGTGACCCCTTTGTGCTCATTAACGATCATTCAAATGCCTAATCTCGTATAATCCTCCTTCACTACTTTATCTACCTTTTGCTTTTCTAAAAAAACATTTATTAAATTAATAAGAGTAAATTATATAATTCATCACTCAACTATGTTTTGTCTCCTATTTTGGTCACTAAAGTTTGATTTTTTTAATTCAATCACTCAACTCTAAAATTTCTCTTGTTTTAATCACTCTAGATTATTTTATTATTAATTTTCTATGACGCGTCCTTTTTATGACTATATTAACATATGTATACTAAAATAAAATTTATATTAAATTAAATTAAAAAAAATTAAAATCATATATAAACCCAAGCCCCCAACCTAAAAATTATATCCAAACCCTAAATTACAAACCCCCACTCCCACCTTCGACGGCCTCACCCTCACCAACCCGCCCCTTCTTTTCTGGCCATCCACCGTCCACCACCGGAAAAGAAGAAAGTTCCCCATTAACTCAAATATTTTCCGTAATTAACAACAAGAGAACATAATTTGACGGTTTGGGTGCACGACATAAGCATTAAATTTGGCTAAAGCATCTAAATTCAAGTAGATAAATTCTCCAGGATACATAGTGGTGATAATCGCCCTCCAGTGTAAAGTAAAAATAAATGCAGTATGACTTGCGGCATTGCAGTAATAATGAAAACAAAACAAACCAGCCCTGATTAGTTTCAAAGAGAAAGATGGAACGGACGAAACATAATGCAAAAAAAAATGTTGTGACCTGTCTGTTTAGCATCCTGCAAAACAACATCTTGGTCATGAGCTTGTAGGGTTTTATGCCAATATAGTAACTTGAGGGAAGGAGGGAAAGAGACAGACTCCATGAAAAATGAGATCAAGTAGAGGAGAATGGTAGATGAAGTTGATCTGTTGGGGAGTTCAATCGTTTCTACGACCTTTCCGGAGAGTTCTCTCGGCTTCTATGGCGGTAGTTGTTTCTAGATGCGGGATTACCAGAAAAGTAGCTGTGGCAGTTTGTGATTTAGAGTTTGGGTATGTAGATTTTTAATTTTCTTTACTTTAATTTTTATTTTAATATACATATAATAATAATGCCACATTATAAGAAAAATATAACAATAAATTAGAGTGGTTAAAACAGAAATAATTCAAAAGATGAGTCATAAATTAAATTTTAATGATCAAACTAAGAGTAAAAAAATAGTTGAATGATAAATAATGTATTTTACATAATTAATAATAATCACAAGTTACGCTGCAAAACAAAAAAATAAATAGAGAGTAAAAACGGCTTTAACAATAACAAATATTACAGGTGGCACTTGGCAGCATAACAAAAGAGGGTTCCTTTTGGCATTTGTGGTCGCTAGGCCTCGTCTCAAGCAATTGTAACCTTCTATATAAACCTCAACAGACTTCCCTTTAGAATCCATCCTTTTGTAAGAAACAGAGAGTTAATACACAAAGGCTTTTTCTTCGCTGCTGCGGAATTCTCTTCTCCTTTCTTTCCAACCACAAAAAAGCACACGCACTTCATCCGCAGCAGCGTTCAAGAAGCTTTCTTTCTCTCATAAAAGAAGAAAATGAGTCGCTCTTTCTCAAACGCTAAGCTTTTCTCTTCTTTTCTTGTCGATGGAATCTCTAACGTTATCTCAAGGTACTCATCTCCCCCCCCCCTTTTATTGGGAAGTGAGAAAGATATATTAGACCAGATAGATATCTTTAAAAATTTTAAATTATCATATATTTTAATTATTTTTTATTAATAATTTATTTAGATCTCCTAAAAATTTTAATATATTGGTCTTTTTGAATTTTAGAATTCTTCTCCTAATATAAAATCCCTCGTCTCTATGCAGAAACAATAATTTAATGATGTTTGGTATTTTTTTTAGACGAGGATATGTGGCGACATCGCAAGGATTGTTGTCAAATGGAGTAAAGGAAGCAGCAGCAGCAAGAAACGCCGCGGTGTTTAAGATAACAGGGGAAGACATGGCGGCGGCGGCAACTAAAGAGAACGTGAACTGGGTTCCCGACCCCAAAACCGGATTCTACAGGCCGGAGAACTCCGACAGCGAGATTTGCCCGGCCGAGCTCAGAGCAACGCTCTTAAAGAGGAACTAAATAAAACACACATTCATATATCTGTATTGGGACAATGAGATTATAAGTGCCGTAGGGGCTTTTTTGGTATCTGAAGTGGCTTGTTTTGTTTGTTTCTTTGTCTTTGGTGATAGTAATGTTTGTTTCTGTTTTGAGAATTACAACCAATAAATAGCAGGGTTGGCGTTTTCTTATTTTAATATCACATTTTTTGTTTTTGTCGCTTAATGTTTTCGTTTCTCCTCCATATTTACATTCTTTCATTTTTAAATTTTGCATTATAATTCAAACTTATAAAGCGATTATTAGCGTGCACAAATGGAAGGTTAATAATTAAAATGAATTTGAATTAAATCAAGAATTCTTTGAATATTTTCAAGATTACATGGGATTTAGACCTTACCAGTACAACAAAAGCGTTATTGCCATATATATATATTGTCAAGTAGGTTTAATTATATTTTTTATCCTCGTATTTTTTTCAAATTATACTAATCGGCAGAAAAGATAAGATGTCAAGTTCCTTTTATTTTTATTTTTTTATAAATCTGAAGTGAAAATTAGGTAGTATTTGTTCAAAGACTTTTAACCCTTTGACAATGAAGGCCCAAACCCCTACATAAGCGGTACTCGAATCTGGGACCTCAACGGATAATAATAAAGTCCTTAACCATTGAGATCGCTTGATTCGTACATGTCACGTTCTTTTTATAATATTGACAATAATTATTTTATTTTCTTATGTAAAAATAAAAATAAAACAATATTTAAAATAAAAAAATCATTGAATATATATTATCATAATTATATAAAATTATAAAATCATAAAATATGAAAATATGTGGAAAAAATTAAAACCATTAAAAATCCACTCATAATTCATGTTAGTTTAATTTGATTAAAAAGTAAAAAAATCAGAGGTTAACAAAATCAAAAATCAAAATAAATTTTAAAAAATATTGTTAGACTATTTATAAGAACGTATATAACGTGTTTCGTCGTATTTACTACATTGTGGGAATGAAAAAATAAATGTTGAATTTTTTTCAAATCGTTTCTTAAAACTTGAATTTAAAGATAATAGTTATTAGTGGTTAAAATTGATTTAAAGACAAGTGTCTCGATTGAGATCAAAACCAAACATCGATGCCTTAAATATTATTATTTAATAATCAAAATATAATAAATCTTATAGTTCGGTGACTAGGTAAGTAATTTATCCTATTTGTGATGGAAGACGCAAATATGCGGTGAATTGTCATGTGTCGGACTGCCCACAAAAACCAAAGCCATCGAGAGGATGCACATATCTGTTCGTCTGAAAACGACACACTCTATACAATACTTGGAGCCTGCACTGGTACAAGAAAATAATAAATAAATAAATATTTGTTTAGAGGCTGTTGTATGGGATGAGGTGGCAAACACTCAGTTGAAATCCAATAGGATGTTGACATCAAAATTCCAAGGTTGATATTCTGGAAACTAGATCCCCATGGAATTTACAAATCAGCGAAGCCACAGGTTGCTAAAATCTTTCCATCTATATATCAAAACCTTTGGCATTGATGGGACTACGCAGAATGTAGTTATACTTTTTTTTTAAATATAAACATTTAGTACATTAAATATAATAACAGTAGCAAGACCGTACATGCTCCATTTGAAAGAGTGAAAGCTAGGCTGTGAAACTTATATAGCATTACTAATAAACTTTAGTTTACATATACTCCTTTAAAGACGCAGCATCGGGGTAAGGAAACAACTTAAAACATAGGAGTATAAATTATCAGACTTTAAGATTATATTCGTATTCGTTTATTTGTAATCTAGTGTTATATTACATTATTATTCTTCGTTTAGTTTACATTATTACCTTCGTACTCGTAGTCTAGTGATATTAATTTTAGTATTTTTAAGCTAACAATATATTATAATATTACCTTGGTATAAATGTACATTTTTTCAATTAGATATTTTACATAATAATATTGTCAGTGGAGACGATAGAGTTTGAAGCTAAAATATAAATTAATTTTATATATAAACTTCATAAATGTTTAAAAGCTTTACAAAAAATATATTTGAGTGATTAATTTGCTTGGGTTTAAAATTGAGAAAGGCCTAAAGAGTTTTTAAACCAAAATATTTAAATCAATGAAAGACAACTTTAACATTTTGGACCAAGATATTAAATTTTCAAATATATTGAATTAAAATATTTTTTTATAATATAAAGAGTAAAATATAATATACAAATTAAAATAATTATTTGTATAATAAATAAATTAAAACAAACTTTTAAATATAGTAAAAAAACATCTAATGAGATTTACGTAACCTCCTCCTAAACATTAGACCAAGCATGTCCATATTGTAAAATCCATTCAACAAAAAGTTGGTAGAACCAAGTAGAATTGCGAGATTACTTTTAGATTCAAACATTGTGTAGGTAGGGATGTGAACTCTTATTATCAAAGAGTTAAAAATCTTTTAACAAATTTTACTTTATATTTATCCCATGTTTATTTTAAAAAAATTACGAGATTGTTAACGTCTTTGCCAAGGACAAATTTCAAATACCAACTAGGTATGTAAACGAACCGAACGTTCACCGAATTGTTTGGCGGGAAATTTGTTTATGTTCGTTTATTTATTAAACGAACGAACATGAACAATATTTTGTGTTCGTTTAATTAAATGAACAAACATGAACAGATGGCTCGTTCGTTCATTTACGTTCGTGAACGTTCGATAATATATTCGTTTATGTTCATTTATGTTTGTTCGTTTATGTTCATTTATGTTTGTTCGTTTATATGCGTTCATTTATATTTAGTCCAATCTCTCTAAACCCGTTTAAAATATTAAAGCTCAATAAATTTTAATATGATACCCATAAATATTTTAAAATTCAATTAATTTTAAATACAAATAAAAAAAGCTCAAAACAATTAAATATAATATAATCCTAAAATTGTTAGAAAGAAAAAATATTTTTTCATTTATGTTTGTTTACGTTAATTTATTGTATTCGTTTATGTTCATTCATTTGTGTCCATTTACGTTCGTTTATTGTGTTCGTTTATGTTCGTTTATCATTTAAATGAACAAACATGAACCAACACAAACAAGCTACATTCCTTAACGAACGAAACCAAACAATAATTTTTTTGTTCGTTTATGTTTGTGATCGTTCATTTATTCGGTTAAAGTTAAATGAACGACCATGAACATACCCCGTTCGAGTTCGTTCGAGTTCGTTTACAAGCCTAATTCCAATTCATATTTGCCAGAGATCTGGATGAGGCAAATCGCGTCTATGTTGGATTTTTGGACCATCCAGTTGGATTTATAGAGGTAAGTAGGGATAGATTGAGCGGAAAGTGATCGGGGTAATCATCCAAAATTTCAACTTATTATTTATTTTAGCTATTTTTTATTTTTTATTAAAAATATGACTCATTATCTCCTAAGATTTTCAGAGTTTATTCCCTTCTTAAATTTTTGAAAAGATTGTATGTCTGTCCTTGACTTACTATAACCATTCTCGAAGCAGAAACGAGTACGTGCCATAAGAACAAAGTGGGCCTCGTGGGCTACCATCAGAGTGAAAATGGCCCAAAAATTAATGGATGACAGCCTATTACATCCAATAGAGTTGGATAATATTATTTAGTGTATGGTGGCTTGGTTAATTGTATTGAAATTAAAAACTTTAAAATAAAATTTTGTATTTAATTTAGTATAAAATATAGGGTAAAGTATAGTAATGGTAACTGAACTTTTCTAAAGCTTTCATTTAGGTCCCTCAACTTTTAAAACTTACAATACAGTCCTCCAACATTTAGTCCGTTTGCAACATAGCCCCCCAACAGTTTCGTCGGAGACCATGTTACAAACGGACTAAATATTGAGGGACCATATTGTAAATAGACTAAATATTAGGAGATTATATTGCAAGTTTTAAAAGTTGAGGGATCTAAATGAAAGCTATCAATAGTTTAGTGACCATTACTATACTTTACCCTAATTTTAATTTTAATGGTGGTTGAATTGATCTCTAACCTTTATGCTCATAGTCATAAATCATACCAAAACTCCAATCTTTAAATACACAGTTTCTTCACCTTCGCCATTTTCGAAACCAGTTAACGATGAAGCCGCCAGAACCTCATATTTACCCGAGAAACCATTCAAAAAACCATGATTTCCTTCCAGGTCATTTCCTCTTCGTCACCGTCGTTTTTCTTCTTCAAATCCCAGAAACAATCTCCTCAATCGCCGCTCAAATCCCATTAGGGTACATCAAACACTGCAACGACGTTGTACCGGCGTCAACGGCGGAGCCTAGCGCTCTCTCTTTCAGCCCCATCGTGCCTATCAGCCTCGACTTCACCATCGGGTATTACAGCGGCGGAGACTCCATTTTCTTCCAATCGAATCCCGCCACCGATGTGCTGAAAGCCGCTACGTTTCATGCTCGTTCTCGCAAGATTACCTTGATAGTAATAAAACCCGGAATATATAAAGTGAATGGAAAGCTCGTTTTACAAACTCTCAAGTCGTTTCCCGTTCCTTCTTCCGATGACGGTGTCTTAAATCCCCGCCGTGGATTTCCGCGGACGTTCCGGTTCAGGGGACCGAGAATCCCGTCAATGGTCGATAGAGGAATGCAGGGTTTTTCACTTGGTGGGTTTTGGTCGGAATCTACTGGGAGGCTTTGTATGCTTGGGTCAGGGACAAGTAACGGAAATACAGATAAATTTAGGACCTTTAATGTTGTTCTTATGCTTAATTATTCAACTAGTTTTAATGTCTCCGGTAGTTTAATCTCTGGGGTTCTTCAAAGTGTGGATTCTGAACCCAGTTTGAGTTATTTTGAGCCTGTGTCCATATTGGGTGTGAGGAGCACTGGGAATTATGAATTTAGTTTGGTTGATAATGGAAAGGAAAGTTTTTGTTTAAGTGAAGGAGAGAATTTGGATGGGGTCGTTCTGCGGTGCGGCGCCTAAAAAACGGTTAATATACGGCGTAACCGGTTAAACAAGTGACCGGTTAAAATTTAGACCGGTTATGTTATATTATTTAACCGGAAATATTATAAAGTACAATAACATACTAGGTAGCGCTTATATAATGTAATAGGTAGCGCTTATATTTACCTATTTTATAAGTAAACCGGTATATTTATACCGATAGCATTGCAAATTTACCTATTACATTATATTATATTGAAAGTGTCCATACTTTTTATAAAAAGGATCGATACTTTAACAGTGTTTCATGTTTTCCACCTACAATATTGATTTAATAATTTCATTTGCACAAAAAATTATTTGATTGTTTTGATATTTTATAAAATATTATTTAGAATTTTTAATTTAATAATAATATATACCGTAACGTAAAAAATAAATCATTAGACGCCTATAATTACTAAATTAATATCTTAAAACTCACTCAAAAGATAACCTTAAATTAATGTTTTCCACAGTGAAAAAAGTATGGACACTTTTATAAAAAGGATAGACACTTTACAATATAACCACTACCTATTGCTTGGCATCATATGAGATTTGGATTTTGATTTCCTTTTGCTTGGCACCATATGAGCTTTGGATTTTGATGAGCATCGGAAGTATTTCAGACTTATGATTTGGGTGGTACTCAACTTATGATTTTAGTTGCTATTTGTTACATTTCTTGTATACCACCCAGATCATACGCCCGAAACGTTTCTGACGCTTTAAAGTTGACCAAAAAATAAAATGGTCGGGATTTCCCTCGCGTTTATACGTTGGAAAAAAAACAATGGAAATTAGGAATAATCAATGATAACATGCATATTGGCTTGGGCTAATATTTATAGTGGAGCCGAAATATATATTAAAATTCAAACTCAAATTGAAATTTAAATTCAAACTCCAATTACATATGAAATGAATTTGAAATGCAGTGTTAAATTGAACATGAAAATTGCATAATTGATTCATACTGTTCAAGTAACATGCTTTATGAACCATCAAGCTAAAAGACAATATTGATTGAGTTCAAAGCTGAGTTGTGAGTTGATGGAGTTGTCACACTTGTCACATGGTTGGAATAAAGTACTCACATGCGAGATAGATACCTATTACATTATATAAACGATACCTATTACATTATATAAGGGCTACCTATTACATCATATGTTTACCTATTTTATTGAAAGTGTCCATACTTTTTATAAAAAGGATCGATACTTTTTTTAAAACTTATGTAATTTATGTTTCAATTTTTTTAACAGTGTTTCATGTTTTCCACCTACAATATTGATTTAATAATTTCATTTGCACAAAAAATTATTTGATTGTTTTTATATTTTATAAAATATTATTTAGAATTTTTAATTTAATAATAATATATACCGTAACGTAAAAAATAAATCATTAGACGCCTATAATTACTAAATTAATATCTTAAAACTCACTCAAAAGATAACCTTAAATTAATGTTTTCCACAGTGAAAAAGTATGGACACTTTTATAAAAAGGATAGACACTTTACAATATAACCACTACCTATTACATTATATAAACGATACCTATTACATTATATAAGGGCTACCTATTACATCATATGTTTACCTATTTTATTGAAAGTGTCCATACTTTTTATAAAAAGGATCGATACTTTTTTTAAAACTTATGTAATTTATGTTTCAATTTTTTAACAGTGTTTCATGTTTTCCACCTACAATATTGATTTAATAATTTCATTTGCACAAAAAATTATTTGATTGTTTTTATATTTTATAAAATATTATTTAGAATTTTTAATTTAATAATATATACCGTAACGTAAAAAATAAATCATTAGACGCCTATAATTACTAAATTAATATCTTAAAACTCACTCAAAAGATAACCTTAAATTAATGTTTTCCACAGTGAAAAAAGTATGGACACTTTTATAAAAAGGATAGACACTTTACAATATAACCACTACCTATTACATTATATAAACGATACCTATTACATTATATAAGGGCTACCTATTACATCATATGTTTACCTATTTTATTGAAAGTGTCCATACTTTTTATAAAAAGGATCGATACTTTTTTTAAAACTTATGTAATTTATGTTTCAATTTTTTTAACAGTGTTTCATGTTTTCCACCTACAATATTGATTTAATAATTTCATTTGCACAAAAAATTATTTGATTGTTTTTATATTTTATAAAATATTATTTAGAATTTTTAATTTAATAATAATATATACCGTAACGTAAAAAATAAATCATTAGACGCCTATAATTACTAAATTAATATCTTAAAACTCACTCAAAAGATAACCTTAAATTAATGTTTTCCACAGTGAAAAAAGTATGGACACTTTTATAAAAAGGATAGACACTTTACAATATAACCACTACCTATTACATTATATAAACGATACCTATTACATTATATAAGGGCTACCTATTACATCATATGTTTACCTATTTTATTGAAAGTGTCCATACTTTTTATAAAAATGATCGATACTTTTTTAAAACTTATGTAATTTATGTTTCAATTTTTTTAACAGTGTTTCATGTTTTCCACCTACAATATTGATTTAATAATTTCATTTGCACAAAAAATTATTTGATTGTTTTTATATTTTATAAAATATTATTTAGAATTTTTAATTTAATAATATATATACCGTAACGTAAAAAATAAATCATTAGACGCCTATAATTACTAAATTAATATCTTAAAACTCACTCAAAAGATAACCTTAAATTAATGTTTTCCACAGTGAAAAAAGTATGGACACTTTTATAAAAAGGATAGACACTTTACAATATAACCACTACCTATTACATTATATAAACGATACCTATTACATTATATAAGGGCTACCTATTACATCATATGTTTACCTATTTTATTGAAAGTGTCCATACTTTTTATAAAAAGGATCGATACTTTTTTAAAACTTATGTAATTTATGTTTCAATTTTTTTAACAGTGTTTCATGTTTTCCACCTACAATATTGATTTAATAATTTCATTTGCACAAAAAATTATTTGATTGTTTTTTATTTTATAAAATATTATTTAGAATTTTAATTTAATAATAATATATACCGTAACGTAAAAATAAATCATTAGACGCCTATAATTACTAAATTAATATCTTAAAACTCACTCAAAAGATAACCTTAAATTAATGTTTTCCACAGTGAAAAAAGTATGGACACTTTTATAAAAATGATAGACACTTTACAATATAACCACTACCTATTACATTATATAACGATACCTATTACATTATATAAGGGCTACCTATTACATCATATGTTTACCTATTTATTGAAAGTGTCCATACTTTTTATAAAAAGGATCGATACTTTTTTTAAAACTTATGTAATTTATGTTTCAATTTTTTTAACAGTGTTTCATGTTTTCCACCTACAATATTGATTTAATAATTTCATTTGCACAAAAAATTATTTGATTGTTTTTATATTTTATAAAATATTATTTAGAATTTTTAATTTAATAATAATATATACCGTAACGTAAAAAATAATCATTAGACGCCTATAATTACTAAATTAATATCTTAAAACTCACTCAAAAGATAACCTTAAATTAATGTTTTCCACAGTGAAAAAAGTATGGACACTTTTATAAAAAGGATAGACACTTTACAATATAACCACTACCTATTACATTATATAAACGATACCTATTACATTATATAAGGGCTACCTATTACATCATATGTTTACCTATTTTATTGAAAGTGTCCATACTTTTTATAAAAAGGATCGATACTTTTTTTAAAACTTATGTAATTTATGTTTCAATTTTTTTAACAGTGTTTCATGTTTTCCACCTACAATATTGATTTAATAATTTCATTTGCACAAAAAATTATTTGATTGTTTTTATATTTTATAAAATATTATTTAGAATTTTTAATTTAATAATAATATATACCGTAACGTAAAAAATAAATCATTAGACGCCTATAATTACTAAATTAATATCTTAAAACTCACTCAAAAGATAACCTTAAATTAATGTTTTCCACAGTGAAAAAAGTATGGACACTTTTATAAAAAGGATAGACACTTTACAATATAACCACTACCTATTACATTATATAAACGATACCTATTACATTATATAAGGGCTACCTATTACATCATATGTTTACCTATTTTATTGAAAGTGTCCATACTTTTTATAAAAAGGATCGATACTTTTTTTAAAACTTATGTAATTTATGTTTCAATTTTTTTAACAGTGTTTCATGTTTTCCACCTACAATATTGATTTAATAATTTCATTTGCACAAAAAATTATTTGATTGTTTTATATTTTATAAAATATTATTTAGAATTTTTAATTTAATAATAATATATACCGTAACGTAAAAAATAAATCATTAGACGCCTATAATTACTAAATTAATATCTTAAAACTCACTCAAAAGATAACCTTAAATTAATGTTTTCCACAGTGAAAAAAGTATGGACACTTTTATAAAAAGGATAGACACTTTACAATATAACCACTACCTATTACATTATATAAACGATACCTATTACATTATATAAGGGCTACCTATTACATCATATGTTTACCTATTTTATTGAAAGTGTCCATACTTTTATAAAAATGATCGATACTTTTTTTAAAACTTATGTAATTTATGTTTCAATTTTTTTAACAGTGTTTCATGTTTTCCACCTACAATATTGATTTAATAATTTCATTTGCACAAAAAATTATTTGATTGTTTTTATATTTTATAAAATATTATTTAGAATTTTTAATTTAATAATAATATATACCGTAACGTAAAAATAAATCATTAGACGCCTATAATTACTAAATTAATATCTTAAAACTCACTCAAAAGATAACCTTAAATTAATGTTTTCCACAGTGAAAAAGTATGGACACTTTTATAAAAAGGATAGACACTTTACAA